TACGATGAAAGTGCTTTTGAGTACTCGCCCATGTTACTATACACCAAGCCGATGTTGTTGTAGGAAGTAGCCAAGTCGGGATGATTTGGAGAGAGAATTTTCGCGTTGATATTAAGTGCCTTTTCGTAATATAAAAGCGCTTTTGAATACTCTCCCATGTTATAATACACCCAGCCAAGTTGATGATTGTATTCCGCTCGACCTTGATCTGAAGATGCCTTTGCAAGGAGAATTCGATAGAGTTGTTCAGCTTTTGCAGGTTCGCCCAATTTAATAAGTATGTACCCAAGTCGAGACCATCCTGTTCGTCCACCAAGGTCCTCACGTATATGTGCTGTAAGTGTGTTCAATTCATGATTGTCATTACCCACAATAGTGAGTTTAACTTCGTATAGCCGATCACTGTGATTATCGTGAATTCGTTCAATGCGATCAATACGAAAAATCGCATGTGTTGAAAAAAGTATTTCTTCTTCTTGATCTTTATAAAAACTAACTTTGCTTACTTCGGCAAATGGTGTCGATGAATTTGTACAAATAGTCGTGTCAATGGTCATAACGAAGAGAATACCAACTGAAGTGGGATTCTGTGTAGCTGACCGTGCATAGGTTTCCAGTGAAATCTCACGATTGCGACTTGTCGACATAAAATTATTGAAGGACATAAGTCCTCCTTTGGTTTTTTTCATTTTTTCAAAGTCTTCCATGGACAAACCTTGTCCACGAAAGACTTGAAATGTCGTTGGCACCTTGTGTTGTTGTTCGCGATATAATTCTGTAATATGATTATGTAAATGGCGAATGAAAAAGCCCATATTCAGGATAATATCGACATCCATTTGTCGAAGACCACAATTAAGCATGGAGTAGATAAAATATGGACCTGTGTACCACCAAATGGGTGAATGATTACGATATTCTTCTTCAATCTTTTCAAGTGTTTTTTCGGAAGCATCGCTTTGAAGACGACAGTATTCAACGAGTTCCTTAATCGATTTTGCATCATCATCTTCTATTTGCAAAAGTGCTTCTTTTAACAATTGTGTATACATAAATAATGGATCAATTCTATTAAAACTTATCGAGATCATAGCTCGATCACAATTTTCTTGATCGATTTGTAATGCTTTACAAATCGGTTCGATTTGTGTGTATATACCTTTTACCTTAGGTATTGTTTTGGCCCATTCCTCATGAATCGATTGATTGTCACATAAAACATAAATGGAAGTTAATTGTGGGCATTCTTGAATTACTGGTATTATATATTGTTCCAGGGCACCAGAGATGATCATAAATACATTTTCATTTTCAATATCACTTAGAAAATCAATACATTCATCAATGTCTGTAAATGTTGTCACTGTTTCTAAAATATTTCGTAAATGTTGTGTTGATATTTTATAATCGCCTTTGGATTCATCAAAATCGGTATCAAGCCATACCAGCAGAGAGTTTTGAAGCTCTCGACGCGGCACAACAGCAGCACGATTGTTCGCGTTGGTAATGGTGGTGGTGCTAGGCATCGCTGCTGCACCACTGATAACAGTTGTTATTCGTTTTCGTTTGCTCATTGTAGTTGAATGAATGAATATAATCAGTGAAACGTAGTCCCCTATATTTATAATTGTTAAATTTTTTGTTGGTTAACATCATTACTTTTCTGACTTGTGGCTACAGACTTCAAGAATCTCTACTATCTGGATCATTTTTATTTCAAGAGTGTTACTAACAAAATGACGATAACGGATGGATCAAGTCTCTATACATCGAACCATAAATAAAGAAGAATGACTAAGCAAACAAATAGTCGCTGAGGATGGACGACATGACTAGTCCGAAATGTCGAAAATACCTGTCCTAGCTAGTTATCCTGGCATGAAAACTCCTGCAGCTACGTCTGAACTAGTCCAGAATGTCCTCAAACTTCGACATGTCTAACCCGTTTCTCTATCTAATCAATCCAGATTAGTCGGTAGACCAGAAAAAGAGTATTTCTAAAAGTAAAAATTGTGCCTTTCATTACTGGTACTCGCGTTGAAATTTATGCATAGAAACAGTTACTCTGTTTAATATGTTTTACAATAAGATTTTTTTATACATACAAGATTCTGTAACCAAGACAATCGGTTGCATGTATCATCAAGCGAAGTTCTCGTAAAACTACTTTATAAACATAAAAATAACACATGTTTATGTACCGTCATTTTTTTTGCGTGTAGCTACTCTTTACTTTTAACTTTAATTTTCTTACTAGTCTAATAATGTTAGAAACTAAATATACTTACGTGCTATGTAATATTGGAGTGTAGCAAATTTTGTTTTGTGTGCTTGCAATCGATTTTGTTCTGTATTTATCATTGACAAAATTACTTGGTTTTTTCCCACAAACGTATATTTACATGAATCAATGAAGCATGACTTTTTTCATCATGTAAACGACTTTTTCGACCATGTGTTCGTCATAAAATACGTTTCGTTTTTCATATATTCTACTTCTTCCTTTTTTACCTTACCTTTGCGTTTCGTGTTGTTGCAATGATAAAAAATACACTGATGCTTGTATAAGCGTAAATTTGAGTTATGATGATTCATTAGACTTTGAACTTTATTCTAATCTCTATATAAATATTTTCTATCGTAAAATTTTTTTTGAAATTGATAGTTATAGAAGTAGTGTTGAAAGCTTCAAAATAAATCAATGAAAAATTTTATATTTTTTATTTTATCGTTCGATGTATGAAAAACTCTATTTATCACTCAAACTTCGTTAGATGCATCCGAAGAAAGTACGGCAAATGTGCTTTAAGAAGACTCAGGCATTTTGAGAAGTGGGTGTGAGTGTTTGTATTGCTTATCCCTACACATCCCGACCCTCAATTATTTGGCTTAAATATCTAAGAATTTCAATCATAATCAAGCAATAATCAACAATCAGTAAATAGAAGTAAAAAATATTGATACAAATGAATAACATCTTTCAATCAGTATTCAACAAATAATGAAAGAT